ACCAACCTGCTTCTTAGGTTGTTCGAAAAGGGAAGTTTTGGTTTAAGAGTTGGTTCCAACTCCAAATCGCTATTTGATTGGGCCCTAAACCAAGGGAGATTACCAGAAACACCAAGTTCATTTTGGTCAGGGTTGCAGCATAGGTTAAATTTGTGCCGTGAACGAATTTGCAGAGCTCTATCAACAAATATCCACACGTCTGTACTGTTTCTGCATAAAACCACAAACTCAATTCAACCACACGGAACCATTTTAGCACTTACTTTTGGGGTTTTGAGAAAACAATTTAGCATTTTTTGCATATAACCCAAATGGGCATGCTGCTATATCCATTTCAGACACAATCTTTACAGAGAATAACATCTACTGAATAGAAAAGTCCAATCTACGTTGCGTTTGGTTGCTGCGAAAGTGAGGGAAAATTATATGGAAAATACCAATTAACGCATTTTGTTGCTAAAGAAAGATTAGGAGCGAGTAGTGGTTGAAACTTGAAACAAAACAATGGAGGTGTGGTGTTGTGATATAAAGGTTATTTTAGGAATTAGCGTGGGTGGGGAATAAGATTTTAATTTTTAAGTTTTTATAGTGGGTGAAATTATTATGTGGATGGAAAAATAAGACAAAGGGGTGGGTCTAGTTGATTTTATTTTATTTTTTCTTTTTTTGACAAACAATATCTATATTAAGGGGTAGGGGTGGGTTCAGCTTCACAATGAGCTAGCAATAATATGGTTCAAATGTGTCTTTGATGAGAATCGAACTTAAGACTCACTTGCAAGTGATGAGAAATACCACTACATTGTAGGGCTTAAATAAAATTATTTTTAGGGCTTTTACATATTCAATTGGGACTTTAAGATTTTAGGGTTTAGATAAAATTATTTTTAAATTTTAACATGAATGGTTTTCTAAAGCTAATTTAAGTTCCTATTTTTATAACTTACCGTATTTAAGTAATTATAGCACATTTATTCTTTATAAACTTATCATGTGAACCTTATTCAAAATTCAAATTCTTATATTAAAAAAAAAGTCAACAACAAAACAAAAACAATTTATATTTAAAAAAAAAACTTATATGTATGGAAGTATCGATATGAATGTATGAGTACATAAGTTTTGGTTCGAATGTGAGGGTATGTAACTATAGTATTTAAACATACATAGGTCACCTAGTACTACAGTCTAGTGGTATTCCTCTTCACTTGTAAGTGAGAGCTTTTAGGTTCGATTCTCGCCAAAGGTGAATTTGAACCACATAATAGCTAGCTCATTGTAAGGCTTAGCCCACTTTCTCACCTCCTTAATATAGATAATATCATTTGTTCACAAAAAAAAAAAAATGGGTACGTAACATGTATATCCATATATATAGAGAAATTCACGTACAATTACAGTAAATGATAATAAATAACTTTTCTTATTATGAGAACTTAATAATAATTATCAATGATAAATAACATTTTTATTGTTTATGGGAATCGATATATAACCTACACATAAAAAACTCAATATTACAACCTAATTAATATTTGAAAATTACAATTAAATGCTAAGGACCATAGTTAGTTTTACATCTTAGGCAATGTTTCATCCAAAAGTAATTTTTTTCAAGGATTAGAAAAGAATTTTCCATAATTTTTTTAACAAACGACATTATTTACATTAAGGATGAGGGATAAGCTAAGCCTCACAATGAGCTAGTAATAATATAGTTCAAATTCTCCTTTGTCGAGAATCGAACCTAAGAACTCTCACTTACAAGTGAAGAGTAATATTACTAGACCGTAATACTAAGTGGCGTAATTTACTAGGTTTTAAGCAATTTATTAGGTTAGTGTCTTCTTTTAAGCAAATCAAAAGCATAGAGCGCACCTAGAGAACAAAAGAATTGTTCTTAAAAGATGTAGGCAATTAAAAGTTTTCCACCTTAACATGCAGGGAATGAAGGCCTATGTGGAGGGCCAACTAACATAGCATGCAGTACCCACTCGAAGAAGCCCGCACCCTGGATTATCGTGCTGATTGCCATCGCTGTCATCGTAGCAATCGTTGCCATAGTTGCTTTACTGGTCTTCCTCCTTGGACGCCGCAAAAATACATCTGAATCATCGGTAGAGGCTCCACCACCATCAACAGCAACTGTCCAAAACAGATCAGTTCAAAAAGAACCAGAGCACCAAGCAAGTGCTCCGGGATCACCCGAAAACTCTAGCAGAGGGAGTGGAAAGAAGGGTGAACAGAGCTTGAAGCTTTCGTTTGTGAGAGATGACAGGGAGAGGTTTGATATGCAAGACTTGCTGAAAGCCTCGGCGGAGGTGTTAGGCAGCGGTTGTTTTGGGTCATCTTACAAGGCTGCTTTGCTGACCGGACCAGTGATGGTTGTGAAGAGGTATAAGCAGATGAATAATGTGGGAAGAGAGGAGTTCCTAGAGCACATGAGAAGGATTGGGAGATTGGGACATCCTAATTTGCTTCCACTTGTGGCTTATTATTATAAGAAGGAAGAGAAGCTCTTGATTGCTGATCATGTTCAAAATGGCAGCTTGGCTCGTCATCTTCATGGTAAGTTCCTTTTCCCTTAAACATATACATATTTGCAATTTACCTAAACATGAATGACCATATTATCTAGTTGTTCTAGTAATTGATGAGATACTACTTTTAAGTGATTAAAACTATTTGTATACCACATCTCTAATCGAGACATGCCGCACATTTGTATAGGCGGAGTAATGCCTTTATCAGAGATGTGATTTGCAATGTCGTCCATATAGCATTGCTCGTCAATATGGTTTGCAAATCTTTAATGTCATTATAGACAATTTTACTTTTAATGTTTTAGTTGTATATATCAAGCCATTTCTCTTCCGCGGTCCCTCCTTCAGATTGAGGAAGAGACATGAATGAATGGCTAATCAATTTACTTGGTGTTATTTGCACTTTCATGATCAGGAAACCAAACCCTAGGCCAACCAAGCCTTGACTGGCCAACCCGTTTGAAGATTGTCAAAGGAGTGGCACACGGCTTACGCTATCTCTACGCTGAGCTTCCCAGCCTAGTAGCACCCCATGGCCACCTCAAATCATCAAACGTTCTTCTCAACGAGTCCTACGAGCCCCTTGTCACCGACTACGGCCTAATCCCTGTGGTAAACCAAGAACATGCTCACACCATCATGGTGGCCTACAAGTCCCCAGAGTACATGCAAAGCAAGCGCATTACAAAGAAGACCGACGTTTGGAGCTTCGGAGTGTTGATCTTGGAGATCTTAACGGGGAAGTTGCCCACCAACTTTCTGCAGCAAGGTAAAGGAAGCGAGGAGGATTTGGCAAGTTGGGTGAACTCGGTGCCTCGGGAGGAGTGGTTCAATCAGGTGTTTGATACAGGAATGGGGGCAGGCAAGAGTAGTGAGGGAGAGATGCTGAAGCTCTTGAAAATTGGGTTGGAATGTTGTGAAGGGGAAGTGGAGAAGAGATTGGATCTGAAAGAGGTTGTGGAGAGGATTGAAGAGTTAAAAGAGAAGGACAACCCCGGTGATTCAGATATTTTCTCTACGTGAGCTAGCGAAGGCGACATGACGAAGATTGTTGGCTGATGAAATAGTTCTCTCTTTCTGCATGACATGCTCAATGGTTCATTGCTTCAGTGATGATAAGAAACCTCTTAATGTGCATCTGTCACGTCCCTCCGAATTCCCTCAACAGGATGAGAGACAACGATGAACTGCTTGTCTATAAGATTTGGCTTTATATGCAAGCTAGGTTTAAACAAACTACTTTAATATTCCATAACATAATTCCTTCTAGTATAACCATTTATTCATCAAATAATCCTTAATTACAATCATACCCAAAAGAGTTTATAAAATTTCATTTCGCACCACATCTAAATGGAATAGGATTTGCACACGTTTCAAATTAATTACAGGTTCAAAGCAATGATATACTCTCCACCTATGTACTCGGTGTAATATCACTTGGTTCTTATATTTGACTATTCCAAATCATCAAGGGAGAGGAAATAATAATAAAGAACCAGTCAGGGAGAAAATGATCACTAACATCTCCCTTCCCACCTCACCAAATATATAAAAATAAAAAATAATAAAAAATTAAAAATTAAAGAAGAAGAAAAATAAAAAATTCCCAATAAATTTCTCCATATTAACTCGAGAAGGTAAGAGGTTTTTTCTTTTTCTTACTAAATTGTAGAGAAAAATTACTACTAAAAAAGTCCTATGATCGATCCTAAAAAATAGGAGAAACTTTGATTGTACAGCATAAAAGTGATTTTTCTTATATCCGTGATTGAACAATTACCGTTGTTGTATTCTAGCTGCAGATGTTCATAATCTAACGATATGCACGAGAACCAAGGGTGAGAACCAAGTCTAGGGCCTAGGCTTTTCATTTATCTCTTGTTATCAGTAGTATATTTATCTCTCGTATGTATTGGTTCCTCTATATGTAAGGGAAACCCTCTCAGAGATCACTACAAGGTCAAAAACCGAAACTTAAGTGCCCTTTTTTTTTTCTCATCGTTCTTCAAGTTCTCCATTGTAACAAGTCATCTCTCATCTGACGGTACGTACATGTGGAATCAAAACTTTGTTGGTAGACTCGGTTAATATTAGAAATTTTAACCGATGTGGGCGTTTTGGCATGCATCTGCATCAATCGTCTCTATATCTAGGGCCAAATTTCTAAAATAATCCTGTAGATATGGGGGGGTTAATTAGCTATAACCGAGTTAATGTTTGTTTTAATTAATTTTAAGTAGTTTTGAATATTTAAGTTCCTCTGGCCCTTAGGCAATTGGGAAGTTTAAGAGTCCAGAAGGAGAGACAGAGAGAAAGAGTCAGAAAGCTTTGCATTATTTTGTTATATTATAATTTTTATTTTTTTTTCGAAATTTACTTATGTTCCCATATTCATATTTGAGCAAGAGGTTGTTGAATCTGAGAGTTGAGAAAGAGGAAGGGCGGAAGAGAATAATGTCGTATAACAATGTTGATAATGGAAATGATAATCAAGGCGCGGGGACAATAGCAGTGGCAATCGGCGAGGGCGTCTCCAGCCAAAATGCTTTGAAATGGGCTATTGATCATCTCGTCTCTAGATCTACCAGCCATGTTCCTATTAAGCTTGTCCATGTTATTCACCAATCTAATTCCTATAATAAACTTCATGCAACTGGTAACTCCCTCTCTCTATATCTTTCATACATACGCATGTGCCGCATGTTGTCCGATAATTAGTTCTATTCATCAATCAATGTTGTGTTAATTATCACATTTCTAATACAGGCGAGACTCATTTATGTGAATGTCTCACGCAGAAATTTTCTGCGTGTTGAGATGACACAAATAGCAGTACTCTTGCGTGAATAATTAACATATTTTGTTTGATTTTTGGTGGCGCTTATAGAGAATAACCCATCAAATGAAGGGCAAGCTCATGATGCTCCAAATACAGATTTCTTACTTCCATTTCGTTGCTACTGTACACGCAAACGTGTAGGTTAATTCAATTCATAACTTCTTTTTTCTTTTCTTTTTTTTGGTAAGAAACCTCCGTGATAATAAATAATATTTAGAAAAGGAATTTCGCCTAATCTGGAGGACATAAAACTTTATCCGTCACTCTTTTTTTTAATCTAATCAACATACCTATTTATATACACTATATAATTAAGAAGCTAGTTATCTATGATTAAATATTTTAAGTTTTGACAAATTATAAGTAGATGTAGTGATTTGTGAAATTAATATCATCAGGTACAATGCGAGACTGTTCTACTGGAGGATCAAGATGTAGCTGAGGCCTTAGTTGAGTACATTTCCCGCCATGGCATTGTGAGTATTGTTGCTGGTGCGACATCCAGGACTGGTGGGTTAACAAGGTATGCAATATAGCTAGATATATAAAATTGTGCGTCTATGTGGAATTTTGTTTGTCCAAACTCATATGATGTTCAAAACATATTGTTCAAGTAGGCGTCGATTCAAGGCATCAGAATCTATTCCAGGCAGAGTCCTGAAGTTGGCACCACATTTCTGCTCAGTATACACCATCAAACGAGGAAGGGTGAGTGAAATGCGTGAAGCATCTCGTCCACTTCCAAATATTCCTGCTGGAGAGAGGGCGGCAGATCACCATTCCGACCACATGTAAGCATTTATATATTCAATAAATATTGGATCATTTTGCCAAACTTTCAATTTCTACCAAATATTACATTAAAAAACATACAATGCAAACGTCTATTTAAACAACATGCAACCAATATGTTACTTACGTTGAGAATGAGTCTCACATTGATGGGAGGAGGGACCTTGCATGGGCTTATAAGAGGTTGGGCTACTCCCCTACTCCCCATATTGCCAATTGATTTTATGGTGGAACCTCAACTTTCTTCATGGTATCAGAGCAGGTTATCCCGCGTGTGAAGCCAAACGGCCACATGTGCTCCACGTCATCCCGTTATGTTGATCCACGTGTTAGGCTCAAAATTTGGCTACACGTGAGAGGACATGTTGAGAATGAGTCCCATATTAATGGTAGGAGGAACCACATGTGAAGCCAAATGGCCACATGCGCTCCACGTCACCCCGTTATGTTGATTCACATGTTAGGCTCGAAAATTCACAACACGTGAGAGAGAGTGTTGAGAATAAGTCTCACATTTATGGGAGGAGGGACCTTGCATGAGCTTATAAGAGGTTGGGCTACTCCCCATATTCCCAAATGATTTTATGGTGGAACCTCAACTTTCTTCAACTTATTTGACTCATTTATTAATTAACTGATTTGGTTGATGTCTTATCTAGAGGTAGAGGTCCGATCAACGGAGCATATGATGAGGTCTCAATGGCTGAGAATGATGTTTCGTTTGTAAGCTCAGAAAGACCAAGTACTGATAGCATTTTATCTTTCTACCAAAATTTTGGGCCAGCTGGACTGACCCGATTTCCTTTAGAATCATCATCAAACATGGAGAGTATTGCAAAACTGGACGAAGATTTTGATAGTTTTGATTTTTACGCTCTGCATGAACCGTCATCAACTGTACAACGTTGTGGAGGAACACCATTCTTGTCGCAGAAAGTATTGGTAAGTCATTTGAAAAGGATACAAGTCAATTACAAACACAAAAGAAAGTTTATTTTGATTAAAAATCTTTCGGTACTTGCAGGAAGATATGGAAGAGGAGATGAAAAGGCTTAGAGTGGAGCTGAAGCAAACAATGGACATGTACCATGCAGCCTGCAAAGAAGCAGTGGCAGCAAAACAGAAGGTTCTAGCATAATTTAAAACCCTCATAAATCTTCCTAGCAACTTAAAGCTAGCATTTTAGCTAATAGCGTTTTCTCTTACCATCAAAAGTTTTTAGGTTGCATGCATCTCACTGAATCTCTTTGCTCTTCCATCTCTCCCATAAAAGTAGGACCACTTGCATATACAGCCAAAGCTCCAGATTCGATTAGCAGTGTGATCATAATAACTTGTTTAAGCATTCTTGCTAAACTGATACCGTAGAATATTTAGAATACACATTCATATAATATATAGCTATGTAACACTCAACCCGATCAATAATTTTAGATTCACGGTCAAACAACACGACAAGAGAGAATTTGTCTATATAAGTGTATAAGGCATAATGATATTCACATCTATGTTGTTATTTGGTCTATGCATCGTGGCGAACAATTATCACCTAAACTTTGAGAATTCTTTTTTTGTTTGAAAACTTTGGGTATATTATATCGTAATGCCGTACTTTCATCTATTTTGTTATTTGGATTTAGTGTCTCAATAACTATCCTGATTGGAGTCTTCTCATCTTACTCATATTCAATATACAGACTATTGAGCTAGAAGAGTGGAAACTGAAAGAAGAGAAAAAACTAGAAGAGGCACGACTTGCCTTAGAAGCAACTAGGGCTGTGGAGAAGAAAAAAGCAAATTCTAAGGCAGCAGTTTTGGCAGCTGATCATCATCACGAAGCCGCTCAGAGGTTTGCTGGAAAGAGGTGCAAACAACGATCAGTGCAGATCAAATATTCAAAGCTTTAAGGGAAGCTGACGATGAAGAAAAGAAAAGAGTTTTGGATGCTTTAGGCCAGTCCCAGATAGTTTTCAAATACCAAAGCTTAGTTCATATCTTAGTTGTTTTATTGTTACTTTTTTTTTACTGTTCACTGTTTTAGTGAATTTGTTTCAACAGATTTAAGTGGCCTTTGTATGGCATATCAATTGGTTTGTTTTTCTCCATATACATATTTAGGTTCAAGGGGCTAGTTACTAGTTGTATAGCATTTTAGCATTAAATTCACTGCACGGACTTACACGTGCGCCAGAGGTCTATCTAAATGATCATGCAAGTTACACGCGACTTACACTTGTATTACATTTAAGATTACTTTGCAATCAACAAATTCTTATGCTGAAGAAACATTGTAATATACTTTTTATCTTTCATGATGGTGTATGTTAGACAAGAAAAATAAAATAACACTCACTTTATTTAATCAGGAGGATTAATCTCATACAATATTTTGGTTGGAACTCTCGTTTTGAAGATGCAGTTGAGCACATTCCATATAGGGAAAGTTAGGTATTAACAATATGAAGTGCCTCTTTCTTTTTCAGCTTTTTCTTATAGCATAAACCTGTATATGGCTTCTGATGAGTACATATTTTACTATATAGTTTACCTTTATTTTAGCATTAATTTATTGATTATTTTGACGTGATTTTGATATTTTGAATTATATTTTCAATATAGAACTTTCAAATTCTTTCTGAGCAAAAAGGGATCAAACGGACGAATTTTGGAGTGATTCCAATCGGAGGATGTTGGTGTGTCACCCAGCTTATTTGTATCAAAGTTTCAGATTTTTCTACCAAACGGTTTATTTATGGCGATGAAATAAAGGAGCAGCGCACAATGCTGTCAAGGTAACATTTCGGGCTTATTTAGGCTTTTTGGCATCCAAGATGATGTCTTTTGGGTCTGATGCCTTCTGCAGTTATGTTCAGGACATCTCAAGCTTTAATTCTAGCCAGTTTGGGCCTATTTTGAAGGCCTGAATGTCCAAAAATGTGGCTGATTTGTGGCTGGGAAGATTTTCCATATTTGATTAGGATTATGTTTCCTAGTTTCTCTTAAGTTATTATGTTTCCTAATTTTTAGAAGACATTTTCTAGTAAGGATTTTAATTGTGTAGTAGTATAAATAAGGTTTTTTAGTCATTAGAAAAGAAGGGGAAAAGAATGCATTACTTTAGGGAAAGGCCCTACTTTGGAGAACTCAGCTTAGAGAGCTTTTGACATTAAGTTTATTTTCAAGGTATTTTCTATCCTTATTTTTAATAATATTTTATTTTATGATTGTTCGTAGCTAATTTCATTTGTTAGGGCGAAGCCACAAGCCTTAGCATGAATATGTAGTTTCTTTTCAATTTAATTATGATATTATCCATGCAAGTTTTGAATTATTAATCATCGTGTTTGAAATTATCTACTTGTCTTGATGAATGGCCACCATTAGGATATTTAGAAAGGTAATTTGATGCAATTTTGATGGAGACCTGTCCTTGGAATTGACTAAGGCTTCTTGTGGTTAATATATGTAACTTCTTAGGATGGATGACACTTCATAAGGGTTATATGGTTTTTCAAAAGGTTTTCACAAAACTTAATGAGTCTTGCATGTTCACATTCGATATGGACACCACGAACAGGATGCATGTTAGATATATGTTCTATGTTGGAGGTTCCAAGTAGGACACACTTCAGGAAAACGTAACCTTCAAAATGTGCATGGGTAATTCATAAGTAATTGGAAGAACTACATAAGATTGCTAAGGTGACGGCGGAACCCTAATACTCGAATTTATTTTCCAAACTATTTTCTTTTGTTTTCTTCACTTTACCAATTTATTTAATTATTTTTAATTAAATTCATTTTTAATATTTTAGGTCATTAAATCAACCTTTTTCCAAATTTTGTTTCCAAATAATTAATTAAGATTTGATTTTAACATAAATTATTCATTCAATCCCTGTAGAGAATGACCTTGCTAGAGCCGATTATATTACGATTAACGTGTACTCTTATAGGTATTTATAAGTGTTTTTATCCCTACTTTTGCAAACTTGAGGTGTAGAACTCTGAATAGGGATTATTCCAACTCCTTTTTGAGTCATTTCTCATATTGATATGCTCCTGAACAAACTTTGGAAAATATTTCCCTTCGGGACACTGCAAAATATCATGGTTTTTTCAAACAACAAAGTGTACAAATTGTAGGTTTAAATCCCTAATAAAAAATAAAAAATAAAAAAAACAAAAAAAAACCCCATTATGCATATTTGAATCATAAAGGCAGTCCTCCCAGTTGTATATTGAATCCAAGAGGAGGTACAAATTTCATAGTTGCACAAATTATAACCTCAAAAAAAATAAAAGTTAAGTACAAGAATAATTAACTAAGAATTAATAAACACAAATTATTTAAACAATCCCCTGCAACGGTGCTAATTTCTTGATGAGATTTTTACCACCTTCAAAAAGTAGGGATAAAAACATTTAAAATACTTGCAAGAGTACAAGGTAATTGTAGTATAGTCGTCTCTAACAATGTCGTTCTCCATAGGGATTGGATGAATAATTTATGTTAAAATCAAATCTTAATTAATTATTTGAAAACAAAGTTTGGAAATGGTTGATTTAATGACCTAAACTATTACAAACAAATTTAATTAAAAATAATTAAATAAATTGGTAAAGTGAAGAAACAAAAGAAAATAGTTTTGAAAATAAATTTGAGCAGTAGAGTTCCGCCATCACCTTAACAATCCTATGTAGTTCTTCCAATTAAATATGAACTACCCATGCATAATGTCAGGTTTTCCTAAAGTATGTCCTACTTGGAACCTCCAACTTAGAACGTATATCTAACATACAACCTATCCGTGGTGTCCAGATCGAGTGTAAACATGCAAGACTCATTAAGTTTTGTGAAAACCTTTTGAAAAACCATATAACCCTTACGACGTGTCATCCATCCTAAGAAGTTACACATATTAACTCAATTCCAGGGACAGCCCTCCGCCAAAATTACATCAAATTACTTTTCCAAATATCCTAATAGTGGCCAATCATAAAGATAAGTAGATAGTTTCAAACATGATGGTTAATAATTCAAAACCCACATGCATAATATCATGAGTGAGTTGAAATGAAACTACATATTCATGCTAAGGCTCGTGACCTCACCCTAGCAAATGAAATTAGTTACAAACAATCATAAAGCAAAATATTATTAAAAACAAGGATAGAAAACACATTGAAAATAAACTTGAATCGTCAAACGCTCTTTAAGCTTAATTCTCCAAAGTAGTGAATTTCCCTAAAGTAATGCGTTCTTTTCCCCCTTCTTTTCTAATGGCTAAAAAGCCTTATTTATACTACTACACAATTAAAATCCTTATAGAAAATGTCTTCTAAAAACTAGATAACATAACAACTTAAGAGAAACTAGGAAACATAATCCTAATCAAATATGGGAAATATTCCTAGCCACAAATCAGCCACTTTTTTGACATTCAGGGCTTCAAAATATGCCCAAAATGGCTAGAATTAAAGTTTGAGATGTTCCGAACATAATTACAGAAGACCTCAAACCCTAAAGACATCATCTTAGACGCCAAAAAGCCCAAATAAGCCCAAAACATCACCTTGACAGCAATGTGCGTTGCTTCTTTAGTTCATCGCCATAAATAAACCGCTTGGTAGAAAAATCTGAAAGTTTGATACAAACAAGCTGAGAGACACACAAATATCCTCCAATTTGAATCACTCCAAAAGTTTTAGTTTTAACCAAAATCATGTTATAAGTTTGTTTAATGGTTCGTACAAGGCCCATATTAAAGCAGTCCAACTAAAAATGGCCCAACTATAATAAATGATGATTTGTCGATTTTACCCCTAATTTTTAGATTGTGTTGTTTCTAATTTGTTCAGTTCGGTTTTCTTCAAGGTTCAGCTCTTTTTTGTTGGAGTTGGTCGAATGCTTTGAGAACTAGACTTTCGAATTCTTATCAATTTGAACGTGATCATTGTTTCAACTTTTGAAGTGCTAATCAAATTGAATATGATCATTGCATTTTAGATCGTCTGTCATCATTCATATTATATTCGAGGTATTTTTCTAGATTTTCATCGTTAATGGAGTTCATCATTGTTTCTGAGATCATTGTTTTCTAGATCTTCTTCTTTTTCTTTGAAAAAAAAAATAGATCATCATGCTATTTAATTTATGTTTTGTATTATTTCGTTGAATCGTGATCGTCGTCATTATTCATAATGTATTCGAGATATTGTTTTTCAATTTTTCATCGTCAGTGGAGTTAATCATTTGTTCCCCCCCCCCTAAAAAAAAAAAAAAAAAGAAGATAAATTTGAGATCTACATGTTATTCAGTTTCATATTATTCCGTTGATAATTGTATATGAGTTGCAAAATGCTTTTTCTCATTTTGCAGATACAATGTTAGCTTTTGGTTCAGTTTTTCCAGATACAGTGTTTTTTTTTTTTTTGTTCATATTTTCATAAACAGTTTTAGTTTTTGTTCAGTTTTTCAAAAACAGTGTTATCTTTTGGTTCAATTTTATGATGAAACAGTGTTAGTTTTTTGTTCAGTTTTTATTCAGTTTTTCAAAGATAGTGTTAGTTTTTGGTCATTTTTTCAAATACAGTGTTAACTGTTGGTTAAACAATTTGGTTTTTGTTCAGTTTTAGCTTTTAGTTTTATTTTCCAGAAACAATTTCGTTTTTTTTTAGTTTTTCATAAACAGTGTTGGCTTGCTGTTCATTTTTCAGAGATAGCGTTAGCTTTTTGTTTATTTTTCAGAAACAGTGTTAGATATTGGTTCAGTTTTTTAAAATAATGTTTTTTTTTTTCTTGAGAGACAATGTTTTTTTTTTGTAGTCTTTACATTTTGTTGTAGGTTATTGATATATATGTTCCTTTAATATTGTGTATTGATTTTATTTTTGTTTTTAAGTT